CCCGCCCCTGCTCCCCCCTTCCTCCCACCCCCTTATCTCACAGGGCAGCCGCGGCCCTTCTCCTCCCTGGGCTGGCCCCTGGGCCACCGTGTCCCCACCGAAGGTGTCAGCCAGCTGGTGTTGAGCTGAGCCCCGCCTGCCGTTCCCTCCGCAGTGGGTTCGAGTGCATCGTCTACCCATTGTCCTGCCCCACATCGGGGGGCCTGGAGGCCAGAGCTGCCCTGGAAAGTGCTGGAGCCGACTCGCCGCTGCCCAGAGACCTGGAGGCGGCGCCGACACCGGACGCCTGGCGTGACCAGGGGGACACCCACGGCAGCCTGCCCGGTGAGTGGTTCACCAAGCGGTCGGCAGCAGGCAGTGCGCTGGGGCCAGCAGGTCCCCCGAACGTGGGCACAGCGGGGCTGGGGGACAGGACGTCCCAGAGGCCCCGTGTCAGTCACAGGCAATCGGAAAACCGCGTCTTATTAGCCTGTTGACGTGAGATACTTCAGTTGTTCTGCTGTTTCTAACTCCCGAGTAGACGGTTTGCTTTTCACTGAGAAAAGGGCGATTTCCTGCACGTGGACTGTCGCCAGGTGTCCTCACCCGAGTCTGGTCCAGGCCCAGCCCAGGGCCTGGTCACAAAGCACGTTGATGTTACATCGAAGGTTTTAAATCTAGTCCCGTAACTTGTAGGAACCCCGGCCCCCGCTCACGTGGCAGAACCTTTCGTGTTCTCTGCCGTCAGCGGGGCGTCCGCGGGGCCCCAGCGGTTTGCGCCCATGGAACCCTCACGCAGGTGCCGGTCACTGCCCGCCGGGCCCGGATGGGCCGGCTGGGCCCCAGCGCCTCCCACGATCCCCGCAAATGGGACCTGGGAGCCTGAAACGCTGCCGCGGGCGGAGGGCCTCAGGTGCCGTCTTCTCCGCCTCCCTTTCTGAATGCGCGAAGCCCTCCCAGGCAGCGTCTCCGGCCGATCCGAGCTGAACAAGTGGTTTCGCGCGTCCGTGAGATGGGATCGGAGGAGAAGGACCTGTAACTACTGGGCGATTTTAAGAACCAAGGTGCCCTTTGCCGCCAAGCCGATCTTGCCCATAAAACGACGGGCCGTGTAGCCGAGACCTTGCGGAGGTCTCGCTGCCTCTTGGGTGACAACACATTTTAATGCTAATTGACTACAGCCCATTACGGCAGAGCAGCACCGGGGATCGTATCTTCCAGGGAAAATTTGTGCTATGAAATCCCTGTCGAGGAATCACAGCAAACAGAGAGGCTGTCCCAGAAAAGAACAGGAGAGCACCGCGTGGCTTCCAGGTGCCGCGTGGCTTCGGGGTGCCGCGTGGCTTCGGGGTGCCACGTGGCTTCCAGGTGCCCCGTGGCTTCCAGGTGCCGCGTGGCTTCCAGGGCCAGCATGGCAGAGATAGTGGGCATGAGCTCAAATGCTGGGGTGTCGGGGGTGTCTGCCTGGAGGCAGGCACCAGGGGGTGGGCCCACAGGGTCCCCGAGACCACAGCACCCAGACTGCGTCCCTGCCACGCCCCTCCCTGTCCAGGGCACTGGGCTCTTTGCCCCGCAGCTGCCCCTGTGTGCTGGGGCCTCCAGGAAGGAGGAAGAGCCCGTCAGCTGGGTGGTGGGGGACGGACCACCGGGGGTCTGACGGAGGAGCACCCCCTTACCTCCTCCGCCCAGAGTCTGTTCTGGGACCGGAGCACTTGCCTCTGTGTGTCCTGTGGCCACATGGGCGCAGCCAGAGGGCGGGGGACGGGGCCACTGCCCCTCGCATTCAGCCCCAGCAGCAGCTCCTCGGCCACCGGTGGGTGGAGAAGATTCAGGAGCCTGGAGAGAGACGAGGGAGGCGGCGGGCACCCGGGGCTCCGCCTGGCCCTGCGGGCCGGAGGTTTCCCGCAGAGCCGGGCCTCGGATGGAGGGGGCTCTGTGGCTACGTGGACATTCCTTCCGGAAGGTCACTGCCCACACGCCGGGTGCACGTGTGTCTCAGACGGGATGACACAGAGGGACCCGGGCCTGCCTCCCAGGGCCACTGTGGCTTCCTCCTCCTGACAGCCCGGTCGGGGCCTCAGAAGCCTGTCCACTGGGGGACATGGGAAGCTCCCCAACGTGTCCTCCCATAATCACAACACTGCTCGGGGCCCGTGGGGCTGGGTGGGCTGTCTCCCCGTGACCTTGGGGGTCTGGCCATCTGCTGACGGGCCCCGGCCACTGAGAGCCACGTCCCTGGGTGGTGGCCGCCTCCTGAGGAGTGGGGGCCTCGCGGGTTGAGTCTGCCCTAAAAGCTAATGTGGTGTGTCTGTCACCTCCAAACGAGACCGCGCTTGTCCCCCTCAGGGCCAATAACATTTTTTTTTCCGAGTCACTTAAACGAGGAAACATCCAGGCCTGTCACTGGCTCTCTGCCTGGCCAGGTCCTGAGCCCACGGCAGCCGTTGGCGGTCACGGCCGCCCCTGGAGCCTTGTTTATTCCGGCAGCTCCCCCGCCTCGCGCCTCCGTGTCCTACACAGGTGATTAGGGCGTCTAATTGGGGCGGCTGTAAACGGTGATTAATGGACGCTTCCCTCTGGAGAGGTCGCCCTGCCCGCTCCCCCTGGCCGCTCGCCTCGTCCGAGCCCCCTCCCCAGGGGCGCCTGGTGACCTCCATCTTGCTGACGAAGCTTAGTCGCCACAATTAACATCGACAGCGAGACTTCGGAAGAGACTCGGCTGGACGGAGGAGGCCTCTGCTCCCAGGGCCGGCTCTGGGGTGTCCTGCTGGGGGGCGCCCCAGAAGTACGCCAGGAGCAGCTCGGAGCAGGAGGCAGCAGGGAGGGGGAAGCCGGGTGGTCAGCACAGGGCCGGAGGCAGCGAGGGGGTGGCCTGGCTCCCGTGAGGCCACCGGGTGAGGGAGGCCCCAGGAGCCCCGCCGGGGGCAGCGCACGGTCGGGTCTAAGGCCTGGGGTCGAGAGTGGGCACGGGGGAGGGAGAGGGGCTGTGGCCACAGGTTTCGGTCTCACGGGCTCAGCCGCAGAAATGGTGGAAGGCGCCGGGTGGGGCGGCAAGAAGTGCGTGGCCCGACACGTGGCCCAACACGTGGACTGAAGACATGCAGCCCGGTGCCCAGCGCGGGCAGCCTCCGGCGCGTGTGCTGAGAAGGGTGCCCAGGCGGTGAAAGCGCAGGCCGCCTGTAGGGATCGAGCCCGAGGGAGGCGGCNGTCGAGCCCGAGGGAGGCGGCCGGTGACTTGCGCACCAGGTGTCCCTCGTGTCTCCTGCGCCCCTGGGAACAGCGTGTGACCCACCCGGGCCCGAGGTTGCTGCGATCGGGGGAGCTGGCAGTGCCAGCCCTGTCTGCCCGGGGCCCACNCGATCGGGGGAGCTGGCAGCGCCAGCCCTGTCTGCCCGGGGCCCACTCACACGGTCGCCTTGGCGGAGGGCACCGGGGCACAGGGCTGGGGCCTGTGGGCAGTGGAGGCCGCTGGTAGCTCAGTCCCTGCTGCTGCCCGGGGCGCGCGCAGCGCGAGCCGCACAGAGCAAGGCCCTTCCTTTCCGTCACGCGCCGTAGCGACGGAACGAGGCCACCGCCAAGGGACGTCTTCCCCACCTGTAACCCCCAAACACTTCTGGGGCCCGTTGCCACTCGCCCTGCAGAAGTGGGGCTCCGGGGAGGGACGTGAGTGCCTGCGACCCCCCGGGGCCCCCTCACCCAGAGCCCCCTGCAGACTCTGAGCCGGAGCGTCCGTCCCTCCCTGCCTGGCTCCGGCCATCCCGTGGGGGTCCGGCCACCTGAGTTGCCTACAGCACCAGCCGCGACGTGGGAACGGTCCTTGTCACACTGTGTCGGGAGGGGGTGCTGGGCTCTGTCCGTCCAGCTTGAGCCTCTGAGCTAGGGCCTGTCCAGGGGCCGTTGTGGTCGGACACCCTCCCAGCCCCCGCCCACGGCCGTCCTGCCCCGCCCGCCTGGGCCACGGCACGTGGTCTGTGCTCTGCGAGGCTTAAAGGCCCTTTTTGTTCATTTTTCTGGGGACCTCTGTCTCCTCAGTGGGGCGACGCTGCGGGTCCTATTGTCCTGAGGACTGTCAGCGAGCGGAGGGAGGCCGCGCCCAGTTCTCGGACGTCTGCCTCGGGCCCCCTCCGCCCGGGTACCACCCCGTCCCGTTCCTGGACAGCCTGCATGAGGTAGGGGCCGGGAGGCCCCCACGTGGCTGGGTCCACAGGCTGCCCAACACTGCAGCCAGTGCGGGGGGTGCCAGGGTAGGGGGGCTACTGGGGCGCCCCTGAGCCCCTCTCTGTGCTCCCCATAGAAGGCAAGTAGCGGGCCCAGAGGCGGCCTCGGCCCCGGGGCAGAGACGCCCACCTCTCAGGACCCACCGGGAGGCAGCAGGTAGGAGAGGCCGACCCACACAGGGTGTCGGGGGACTGGCCTGTGGCCCCAGCTGCTGGGCCGCAGGTGGGGGCCATCAGCCGGCCTCCCGGGTGTGCACATCCCGGGCGGGGGCAGGGGTGCCCTTCTGCACACGCCTGCCTCAGTTCCCCACGGCCTTCAGCACTGCAGACACCACCGGCCTCAGCCAGCCCAAGGGTCGCAAAGGCCTCTGAGGCCTGGACCACGGGGGTGCCGGGTCTGCTGCTTCCACGGGAGCCTGGGGCCCCGTCCAGCACCAAGGGGGCTCCCGGAGCAGGGCCAGCGGGGGGCGGCCTGGCCCGGCTGTGTCCCTGCCGCTGCCGGCGACCCCTGGGCCACTTGCTCAGACAGGCTGCAGGCAGGCAGAGGGCCTGCTTCCTGCAAAAGACGGGGCCTGTGGCCCCCCGCCCAGGGAACACGCTGAGTGCGGCAGGGAGCTCGGCGGCCTGGCGCATTCCTCCAAGAGGGGCCAACGGTCCCCATGGGGAGGCGGGGAGGCCCCCCTGCGCCCGTGGCCGCTTCTCAGTGACGCCCTCTTTCCACTGGTGGGGGCTGAATTCCCGAGAAACCTTTCCGGCCTCCGCTCTCAGGAGCAGCAGGGCCCCCGCCCACCCACAAGGGCCAGGATTGCTCCGGCGGGGCTGGACCGGCCTCCCTCCCCCAGGACCCCACGCCTGGAGCCGTGCAGGGCGAGATGCAGCCGCTGTGGAGCACAGGCCGGGCTCTGCAGAGCGACCAGCGCCTGCCACCTGCACCTGTGGCCTCCTTTGGGGGGG